CTATTTCACTTGATCCTCACAATAATCTCTTGAGGTAGGTAGAAAGATTTTGTTATCTCCACTTTACACATGAGGAAACTGAGGCTCAGAGAGGTTAATGACTTGCCCACAGTTGTACTACTATCAAATAGCCAAATTGAGATTTGAACCCAGTGCCTTCCCTAACCCCACTGGACCTTCTAGTATTCCATCCCACCATCTCTAAAGTTGCTGAAAAGCTTCTTTAATACTCTGATGGATCTGTGATGTCAACAGGGTGGGTCCCCTGGGCAGTGGGGACGGCAGCCCATGTCTTCCCTCTCTGTGTGTTTTCTGAACTCATCCCCTTGTAAGTCTTCACACAATCTACACACGGGGGCCCTTGCTCTGGGTCTTTGGATATTCCCCGCATTCCAGTGCAACCCTGGGCATGGGCTACAGTCTCCTGCCATCTACCAAGCATCTTTCCATGGCCTCCTGGACCATCCACTATTTTGATTCTTCGAAGTTGTGCCCTGATTTGTTGCCATATAGCCTTCCTAGAAGTAGACTGAGGGACTTTCAAAACACAAGCCCTCAGTCTCCTATTCAGTTCTGATCTCCACTCATCATTGCCCATTTCCAGCACCTGTCCAAGGTAAATACACTGATGCACTAACTTAATGGACTGGACATCCCCAGCTCGCCACAAGACAATCCTCCCCACCCCACCCGTCTCCCCTTTCTGCCCACCCAGGTCTTCTTGGCTATCCGTGTCCAGTCTCCACATCCTGGAGAGTCTTCCATTGACTTGGGTCATTGCCATAAACATGGTCCACAGCCTCCAATTTCATTTAATCAGTAAGCATTCAGGAAGTACCGTCCATGTGCCAGCCACAGGGGCTGCGAAGACAAAACATTTCATTTCTCTGCGTCCAGTTTCCCCCTTATTCAATCTTTTTTCATGCCACTCCCCTGTTCAAAAAACTTCATTGGCTCTGTATACTGCCTTAGCCAGATATTCAAGGCTTTCCATAAGCTAGGCCTAACTTTCTTTTTTCAAAACTTATCTTTCAAAAAAACCCCCCAAAACCAACTTATCTTTCACGACTCCCACAACTGCATCCTCCTCTCCCTCTCAGAAGGTCAGTGCTGGCTGGACTCTGAATGAATTTGAAGGCCCTTCCTTCTCTGACTGTCCAAATCCTACCAAAGTGATTCAAGGTCCCCATCTCAATCTCATTTTACCCCAAATGTTCACATGGACTATTTGTGCCCGACCTGGTTAGAACATCCTGAGCTCCCTCACGTGGGTCTGATCAGTCACATTCAGGACACGCTGTAACCTGACTCCAGCATGGTGATGCCATTTTGGTCCTCTTTGAGAACTAAGGACAACAACCATATTTCCACTCTTGTTTAGTTTTCAAGGTCTTGACTGATATAGTTCGTCTCTACCTCTAACCTTATTCCATACTGATCCCTGACTTGTACTTCCTTTCCTCTTCTGGTTATTCTTCTTAATGTTTCAAGAATATGCCAAGCTCATTCCCGTTTTGAAAAGTGTAAGCAACGCTTTGGTTCCTGTCGTTTTTCTGGTCTAGAATTCCCTCTGCACTGCTCTCTAGCCATTGAAATCCTACCTAATCTTCAAGATCTGTTTTGGTGTCCAATCTCCCATGAAGTCATGACAACAGCCTTCATTAATCTCTCCTCACTTCTTCCACAGCAGAGCTGTGTGCTACAAAACCTTAGGCTTAGTTGTATGCTGGGCTGTTTGGTAATGCTTGTTTTATGTGTGTTAGTCTCATCTCCTAACTAGAGTTTAAAGCAGAAATCATTTCTGGTATTTCTGCATCTCCTGGCAGTGCTGAGCAGAGGAGAGATAGGTTGCTTCACTGACCGTCCACACTCACATAATCGAATTCAACCTTTGAGGACTGGTTTAATTAAACACTCTTCTATTAAGCCCCCCCTTTACCACCTGTTCTGTATAGTGTTACCTCCTTTCTTTAAACTCCCAAGTTATCTACTATATTAAAAGGCAGTTTGGTATAGTGGGCAGTTTGGACTCAGAAGCTCAAATCTTATTTCTGCTACTTGTAGCTGTGTGGTCACTTCACCTGTCCAAGGGCAGTTCAGTTTTCTCATCTGCAGAATGGGAGTACTAGATAGTATCTGCAGTAAGTACTTCACTGGGCCATTATGAGGAGCAAATGAGATGGAGAATATAAAGCTTTATACACAAGTCAGCTCTCCTGGTAACTTTTTATTGGTAGTTAATATTTTATGCATAATTTCATCTACTGGATGCTCCTGGAGCTCACGGATTGCCCTAAGCTGTATTTTTTACTCCTTATGGCATTTTGCACTGTGCAGTACACTCAGTTTATCTTGCTGACTCATTTTCTGATATACTTTCCTGGGGGACAGATGCTTGGTAAAGTCACTGTCATTAAAATGGAACACATTAACATATGTGAGGTTGACTATGCACCTGGATTTCATTTAGTTAAGAATGGAAGCCAATTGGCATAAACTGTTTACTGTGCTAAGAAATGCAAAGCAAAAAAAACCTCCACAAATAACCAGGGGCTGATGTCACCAGTCCATCTAAAGTCCCTTCAGGCAATAGTTGGTTTCACTTTCCAAAAGGTCAAGATTACAAGATGGGGATAAAAAAAATCAGAAAAATGCTTACTGTTAGTTACTATATATAGTAACTAGTTATAGTAATTCCTATATATGTAATATATGTATATACAAGTACTAAGCTGGTTTTATACACATCATATCCTGTCACATATATGTATAAATTTATGTGTATGTGTGTAAATGTCATACACATGTGACTATGCACACAGACAGAAACTACTGGATACGAGAGGGACTTTATACCCAGGAGTTCCCTTCACTGCTTGGAGTCTGGAGGACTGGAGGACAAATCCAGCCTCAGACACTTCCCAGCTGGGGACCCTGGGCGGGTCTTTTCATCTCTGCCTGCCTCAGTTTCCTCAAGATGGTAAATTTAACTGTACAAGAAAGCAAAGGGTAATAACATTAGCTTTACATACGAATGCAGTTTGATATTGCATCATGTAGACAGATGGAATGAGCTGCCTACAGGTCATGGGATCATGAATCTGGGGCCCAAGGCTCGTTAAGGGCCATCGAGTATAAAGGAATATATGACAAATGAAGAAAGCAGAGCAATCACGTGATTTGCTCAAGGTCATACAGGTTAGTAATGTGAGTCCAGGCAAAATCAGAACCCAGGTCCCTCTGGCTCCAAATTAATAAATCAACAAGTATTTGTTAAGCACCTCTCATCTATCCCAGGCCCTGCGCTGGGCCCCAGGGGATGCAAAGACCGAGGGAAAACAGGCCCCTCCCCAGCCTGACCCTCGGCTGGGGGAGGACCACAGGTCGGTCTGTAGATCCCTGCACATCATACACAGAAGGAGAGGAGACGGTCCTTTCCCCACTTCCAGGCAGAGCAATCAGTTCAATTCATCCACAAGCCCCGAGGCTTGTTTCAGGAAGCCCTGGGCTTAAGAGTCAGGGAGATCCGAGTTCACATCCTGCCTCGACGCTTTGCTAACAGTGTGAGCCTGGTCAGGCACTGAACCTGCCTGCCTCACTGTAAAATGGGGGCGATAATAGCGCCTATCTCCCAGGGTTGCCATGAGGATGTCGTTGGGTAATATTTGCCAAGTGTTCTGCAAACCCACCTTCACGTAGTGTGCCTGCACTGGGGATACAAGCACAGCAGCCCTGCCTACCCTCAGGAAGCCTTCTCTGAGTGGCTAAGGCGGCCTTCGAACCCAAGCACTGACGGAGCCCTCTCGCCTTCCGGTCTCCAGGCCAGGGATCCGGATAGGAAGGCTCAGGGGGCGGGACCCCAGCCCCAGGCAGAGGCCAAGTGACAGTCCGAGCCAAGGGCCATTGCGCCTGCGCCGGCAGGGCACGGCCCCGCCCCTTCCTGCCCGGTGCCCCGGAATGAGGCCGCACGCGCGCGGCGGAAGCCAGCCTCCCGGAAGGGCGGAAGTGACGCGCGGCCGCGGCTCGCTCGCCCCTCCCTCCCTCGCTCCTCCTCCTCCACCTCTTCCTCTTCGGTCCGTAGGTCCGTCCGTCCGCCCCTCAGCGACGGCCCTTCAGCCGGTGTGTGGCCGAAGGCGTCTGGCGGCCGATGGCGACTCTGGGCGGCTAGGCCTTGGTGACGCTGCCCAGCCTTCGCCGGGGCCTCGCCGGCCCTGCCTTGGGTGAGGAGCCGGGGCTGGCGCGCGGGACGCCGGGCCGGGATTGTGACGTGCCCGCAAGGGGAAGGGGCGGCCGGGTTCCGGGGAAAGGGGCGGGCGCTCTCTGCCTCGGTTTCCCCACTGGTAAAAAGAGAGCTTCCCGGAAGAGGAGAGGGCTGGGGGTCCTGCGCTCCCGCAGTCCCCCCCCGCGAACCTCCGTAGCCTCTGCGCGTATACCGCCGGCGCCCAGTGAGTGTTGGTCGGTTGACTCACTCGGGCTCAGGAGGCAGGAGAACGAGGGGCGGGGCCGTTCCTCCTCCGTAAACTTTCTGGGGTGCGGTCGAGGGCCGTGGGCGTGGGGGGTCGGGAGGGGGAGGGGAGCGCGGGGCGTCCGGAGCCGGTGTTTGTGTGTGACGGGGAGGGGCGGGGCCTTCGGGAAGGGGAGGGGCTCGGCCCCTCTCGGCCTTTCCCGGACCCCACGTACTTCCGGAAAGGGCCGGTCGGGGCCGGCCTCTCCCTGGGGAGCCCGCTGACCTCCCCGGCCCCGGGGCTGCGCGGGGTGTCACCAGATAGCGGGGGGCTGGAGAGCAAGTGGGGTCGGCCCCGGGCGTCAGAACTTTGTGCGTTTTAAAGAAACATCAAAGGAAATTAAGGGGGGGTGGTTAGGCAGAGTGGGCCTGCGGGACCCTGATTCTGCGTGCCCCGGGCCGCCTTCTGACCAGGAGCTGGAGACGAGTGGCCATCTGCCTTCGGGGAAGGGAGGGACTTTATACCCAGGAGTTCCCTTCACTGCTTGGAGCCTGGAGGACTGGAAGGCAAATCCGGCCTCAGACACTTCCCAGCTGGGGGACCCTGGGCGGGTCTTTTCATCTCTGCCTGCCTCAGTTTCCTCAAATACATAAAACGATGTGATGATAGCGCCAACCTCCCAGAATTGTGAGGATCCAACGCCGGAGATGAGATTCTTTAAAGGGCTTAGCACTGTGCCTGCCTTCCCTTTCCCTTCCCACTAAGGTGCGTGGATGTAGATTTTACAGTGTGGTAGAATTCTTAAACTGATTTAAATAATATTCATATAAACAGATTGTGCAGTTTCCCCTTTTTGAATCAGACTTGTAGATTGAGAAAATCCACTGTTCTTTTCACATTCTGACCTTTCAGACTGAATGTGCTCCCTATCCCCCTAGGCTAATTTATGAAATAAAATTGTGTGCAAGCCATTGCATTCCACCTGCTTGTATTCAACCTACAAATACAAATTCCCCAACTGAGGCAATATAGACAGTCCTCTTAGAGGGTGAGGTTTTTGAAAAAGCTATTAAATTATAAAGGGTGCTGCTTCTCAGAGTGCTGAAGGGCTCTTCAGGTATTCAGGTAGATACTTATCCTCTATTTGAAGGGTTTTATGCAGTAGTGAGCTAAAAGCATGGATAATCTGAAGCTTTCAAAATGCTGGACTTCTTTCTTCAAGTGTCTGTAGGTGGAATATGCAATTAAAATGCAGTGTGAGTTGTACATAATTTTATTCATTCATTTATTTTTCTAGGCAATTGGGGTTAAGTGACTTGCCCAGGGTCACACAGCTAGTAAGTGTCAAATGTTTGGTCTGAGACCGGATTTGAACTCGGGTCCTCCTGACCCCAGGGCTGGTGCTCTATCCAATGTGCCACCTAGATGCCCTCTGTACACAGTTTTAAAAAAATGGATGATAGAGATCATTGGCCCTGGAGTCAGGAGGACCTGAGTTCAAGTCTGGTCTCAGACACTTGGCTCTTACTAGCTGTGTGATCCTGGGCAAGTCACTTAACCCAGATTGCCTTGCCAAAAAAAAAAAAATGGATCGAGATATAGCATATTTTTCCATGTTAACATCACTTTCACTAAAAGTAATACCATTTAATACACTGGCTCATAGTTTCAGTTATTTGCTTGGCTTTTTAAGACCTGGATTCAGAGGCCAGAAGATCTAGGTTAAGCTCCTGCCTCTGACAAGGCAATGTGAGCTTGGGCAAGTTCCCGAGGCACTGCTCTGTTACTGGAAGTTTAAGAGAAAGTGCAGGCCTGCTTTAGTAGGAGTTTTCCTCAGCTCTTCATTGCAGTACTGAAGTCACAGGTCAATTCCCTCTTTCTGTCATCCTTTGTATATGCTAATATTTAGAACTGCTAAATTATGTCGGGCAATTGGAAAAAAGCTTACGACAACTGACATAATTTATGAATCTTTTCAGTGTTTTATATTTGTTTCAGTTGGCTAAGGATTGCTTCTGCTGTATATGCTGTTCGGTTCAATTAAGTGAAATGGGTGGTGCAGTGTAGCTTGAGAACAGTCAGCTTGGTCCCAGGACTTGGAGTCAAGGAGACTTGACTTCGAATCCTGCCTCACTCACTTGGTAGCTGTGCTAGCCTGAACACGGCATTAATTAAGCTGTCTCAGCTTCAGTTTCTTCCTTTGTGAAAAATGGGGGTAATAGCACTGACCTTATGAGATTCTTGTGAAGGGCGAATGAGATAATATAGTATGTGGAAATGTTGGCTGTTGTTAGTATTCTAGAAGAAAACATAATAACCAGCAATCTTATGGGACCAAAAAGTTTGCCTGGAGAAGTGTAGGTAATAATACTTATTGAGCTCCCACTCTTTTCACACAGTGAACTGTGTATAGGACTGTACACAGAAATGCACAGTGCAGTTATTACTTTTAGAATTAAGATTTAAGAATTTTGTTCAAAGATTTCATAGTGTAGAGTTTTCCTCTGTGGCCTGTAAGGATCCCAAGAAATTGGGTTTAGCTGGCTACGGACTTCATCAGAGATTTTGGATAGGCAGCATGAAATGTGGAAGTGGGCTATTTTGTGTGTGTGTGTGTGTGTTGTATAGTATTGTACTATAGTATAGTATAGTATAGCATTGGTGTTTATGATCAAAACTCCTCAGTTTTCACTCATTTTAAACTGGCTTCCCATTCCCGGGCGCTTGGTAGCAGAAAGTGAGAGGGAGGCCTGGAACTCGGCAGTTGTGTGGCTTTCCCTTCCTTGTGCAGAGGGTGTTAAGTGTGATAGGCTTCTCTCTCTTTTCTAGGAATGGGGCAGGGCTGTATTTTCTCTAGGAATGGTACTATTTCCAAACAAAGTGAAGGTAGTGTGTTTCCTGGGACTCTCCCTACTGGGTTCTGGGGAGAAAAAGCAGAAAGGGAGGGAATTTGAGAGTCCTGGAAACTAGAGTCAGAGAGCTTGAGGGAGCAGGTGAAGGCAAGGTTAGCAGAATTTGGAGGTAACTGGTAGAAAGGAGTCTTTATTCTATTTGATAAGCCAGAGTCATCAGCATTGTGAATTATCCAACTGTTAATTTTTGATGGTTTGAAGATATGAAATTTCAATAGAAGGAAAGGGAAGAAAATCATGATAGCCCTGCTTTAATAAACTCCATTTATTTTCATGCTGTAATATGTATTGCAAGTTACTTGTATTAGGCTTAAAATAATTCAGAGCACTGCTGCCATTTATGGACTGTGAATATTTTTATAAATGTGAATATTATCATTCTGATTAACTCTCCCTCCAGTGTAGCCATTATTACAGAAACATTTTTGTTTTGAATTTAGTTTTTTACAATGTAGACATAAAAATTCACACAAGTGCAGTGAGCAAAAAACAACACTTCTTAGGGTTGGATAATGAATTAATGTTTTAAAATTGTTATTAATTTTCTCTTTATATTCCCGTTGCTTTGGACAGTGCCTGGTACATTTTAAGTGTTTAATAAATGCTTGTTGACTTACGCTGCCCATTTGTTTAAAAGTTAGAAAAGAAGTACTGTTTCTCTTAGATTACCTCTGGGGAGCAGCATTCCCTGAAATCATATGTATTGTATAAGTTTGAGGAAGAACTTTCTGAGTTTTATGCTTAGGACTTCAAGATTTGACATCGATTAGATTTGACTGACTGGAGTTTGGGAAGGAGGAAATCTGTGGCCCTGGCCTCGTTAGCCAACCACGTACCAACCCACTAACTCATTGGTTCGGGCAACACAGATGTACACAGTGAGATCTTTTGATTTTAAACATATTTCTAACTTTTTTCATGAAGAAATACTTCCCATCTTCCCAGAGCCTGAAGATCACCAGGGTGGGCAGTGCTGGATAAAGTAGAAAGGGAAGGGTGGAGTGGTTGTTAGTCTTTAGTGGGAATTAGAGTATTCTGCTGGTTGCTATTCCCTTTGAGCAAATATTGCCCTTGGGGCAGTGTTGCTGGAGTAACCAGTTTGGGAATATATCAGGTCCGGAAGGGTGCAGTATCAATCCAGTGTTTGAGGTCTTCATTACATAATTAAGCTGAACTCTAATTCTTTCTCCTCTGAAAAGTTCTGGTACACATAGGAGATTATAGAATAATGTGCTTTGGTGGTAAATTTTGGAATTGTACAGACTTTAATCTTTGTAAAAAAAGGAATTAATTTTTAAAAATAGGAATTGGTAACTTTTAAGATTTTGGTTTTAGTGGCTTTCAAACCATTTAAATTTTTCCCTTTACTTGAGTGAAAATTTTTAAATTTAATGCCTGTATTTTTTAGTTGAATTATTTTTCTGTAGTTAATTTGAAAGGTTAAGAGGATAAAACAAGTGAGGAGACATCAGAATAGGAAGTTTTTGACTTTTAGGTATCTTTCTAAATAAAGTCTTAGACAGCAATTACTAAATTATAGGGTAGAGTTTCAATACAATCTGATCCCACAGATTTTCATTGACTTATGAAACAAATTGAGATTAATACAGTGCTAGCGATTATTTCTTTAATGATTAAGAAAAGGTGACAGGATTATCATGACGAATATTAATTATGTAGTATTGTAGCTGTTGAAGGTAGAAGACTTACTGTGATAAAAATAGTAAATTGCATTTTTGGAGCAATCTGCAGTAGTCAAATTTGTTGTCACTCATAGATGTAGAGTGCAAAATGTAAAAAACTGTAAGTTTTGTAGTTGGGAATTCATTCACCATTCATGAGTTAATACCTCAGCTTAAATAGTACCTACTCCTTGAGCCAATGAGCATTCTGTGAGTTTTTAATAGTCACATTTATTGATTTTGTGTACTTGACATTTCCTGAATGACATTTCTCTTGTATTCAATTACCATTAATTTGAGATCTGAGCAATCAAGACAAGGTTAAGATGATAAGCAAGCATACATTTTATTAGACAACAGTAATTAAATAGTCTTTCTAATGATTTAAATTTGATTAATCATGAAAAACAAATCTAGCCTCTTCAGTAGTTTTCCATATTTTTGTTATAAATGAGGAAAAAACTTTAATCATGCTGTCTTGACTGTTACTGGAGGGGGGCAGATTGTGAGAGGCCAAGACTCAGAGTGGTTAGACTAGAGGAGTCTTACTAATAGTGTATCTCAGGGTAGCAAACAATAGCAGCTTTGAGAGCTCTTAAATATAGGGAACTGGTAGGAGCACTTTTCTTGGTAGGAAGGAATGGTCACAGGTCAGAGGATGGGATTAAAACAGATAGGAGTGGGTTGGCTCAAGCAGACAGCGAGAGTCCATTGGAATTAGGCAGGAATCCAAGGGGGCCAGGCCCTAATTCATGTATCAAGGGGCTGATGCAGGTAATACGTTGTGCTAGACACTTGAGATGCATAGAAAAAGCACAGAACCATCTCTGCCTTCCGGAAACTTACGTTCAACTGGAAGAATATCAAATGTAAGCATCAGCTGGGTGGTGCAGTGGATGGAGTACTGGGTTTGGAGTCCGGAAGACCTGAGTTCAAATACAGCCCCAGACCTTTTGGTAACTGTAGGACTCTGATAAATCACTTCATCTCTCTCTGCCTCGGTAACGTGGGGATAATAACAGGACCTACCTTCCAGGTTTGTTGTGAGGATCAAGTGAGATAAGATTTGTGAACATAGTGCCTGGCCCATAGTAAGCTTGATATAAATATTAGCTATTATTATTAAACATATATGTAAACACACGATAAGAAGAAGGAGAAAACACAACAAACTAGGGAATTAGTTTCCCGTAGGAGGTAGCCCAGGGACTAAGCCTTAAAGAAGTTGTGGATTCTAAGAAGTGGAGGTGAGGAGGGATGTGTTCCGTGCATAGGAAAAAGTCCAAGGTGGAACGTGGCTTTCACAAGGCCTGTGTGTTTTAAGCGTGGAAACCTTAGAAGGGACAATAGGAAAAAATACTGGAAAAGTAGGCTGTAGCATATAATGTTTTACTGTAGAAACAATGGAAAGTCATTGTAGATTCTTGAACATAGGAAGGAATAATCCATTGCACCCTTGTGCTTTAGGAAGGTTATCTTGGCGCTTAAGTAGAGGAAATCTTGGAAAGGGAAGATTTTGTAGGCTCTGAGCTTAGTTAGGGTCTTGAAAAGATAAGAGGTGTTGAGGGCTTGTACTGGGATGGTTAGAGAAAAGGGGCTAGCTGGCACTGATAGATACTACAGAAAGGCTTCATTTGACTGGCCCTTGGGGAGTGAGTCAGTTAGGAAAGAATCAGAGGATTGCTGTGGAGCCTGGAGAGTCAATTGAGCTGATAATGTAATTAACATAGTTATCTACTGGAGAGGTAGCCATCTCTATAGGGTGGAAGGGAGGCGGGAAGACCTGGGTTTCAGGCCCACCTCTAACATGCTTATCTTGGCTGTGAAGAGAAGAGCAAGTGGCTTCCTCTCTCACTGGCCTCAGGCAGCTTTCTATACTTTGCCAAAAAGGTGGCAGTTTGCTCTCTATAACAAGGAAACCACAGCTGAAGTCCAAAGACCAAAAAAAAACCCACCCATTGTTTAAGTAAGTGGTGAGAACCCAGTTCTGGACTGGATGGACTAGGTAACAGAAGTCCTACAACAAATGGAGGAACATTAGTGGCAATGATCAGTTATGCCCACCCTACCCTGCTTCGGCTGAGGACCGCACCCATGGTTTGTGAGCCAGAAACCAGAGGGTGGCGGAGCCTTTGGAGTTGGTTGCTTTTAGATTGCAGTAGACATACAGAGCCAAGACTTTGGGGAGTTCTTATATACGAGAATTTATGGTTACTCAGTTCGTTTGAACTTTATCCCCAGTTTTCCTTTTGATTAACTTTCTGAGCCATACTACTGACAACTCTTCCAATAAATGTACTCATAGCCCACTTATTTACAGTTGTTCGCTTTCTTTCTCCCTTTTTTTTTTTTTTTGGCTAGTCAGTGGACTTAAGTGACTTGCCCAGGGTCACACAGCTAGTAAGTGTCAAGTGTCTGAAGTCAGATTTGAACTCAGGTCCTCCTGACTTCAGGGCCGGTGCTCTATCCACTGTGCCACCTAGCTACCTCAGTTGTTAGCTGTCTTGGTACAGAACCCAAAGTGGAGATTGTATGCAAGAGGGCAACCAGGAGGCTGAAGGGCCTCCAGATCTGTGGGGAAGTGGTGCTATTTAGCCCAGAGAAGAGATTTTAGCCTAGAGAAGAGATTTGAGGGGCACATGATTGTTGCATATATTTAAAGGGCTGCCATGGATGGGGAAGAAGAATTGATCTCTCCTCACTGCACTCTGTCCTTTACAGAGCTGTCAAAGTGATTTTCCTTAAATTCAGGTCTGTCTATGTCATTGCCTGATAAGCTTTTACAGCATTTCATATCTTGGTCCCAGTCTATCTTTCTAGCCTCATTAAATCTCAATAATGTAATTAACATTCAGCTTTATACAATGCCACCTCTCCAGACTCATCTCTATCCTGAGCTCCAGTCCCCCATCTCCACCTATACACATCCAGATGTCCCAGAAGCACCTCATGAATCATCTTGGAATCCCACTCTCCAAAATCTGGCCCTCTAGCCAAATTGGCTTATCCCCCTGTTTCTCACCCATGACTTTCCATCTCTTTGCATTTCCTTTGGCCATTCCCCAGCCTGAAATGCACTCCCTTTCCCCCTGCTTCTTCTAATCCCTATCTTCCTACAAGACTCAGTTTAGGCACCACCATCTACAGGAAGCCCATAAACTACTTGGTATGTATTTTGTACATCCAGTTCTATATGAATGAGGGTCACAGTGAAACAGCTCAGATGAACCATAGAGACAGTCTGGTCTAAGTCCTTCATTTTACAGAGGAGGAATGGAGGCCGAGAAAGCTTTGACTCTCACGTGGCTGATAATTTTCTGAGAACTGTCCACTAGACTGCTGATAGCCTCTACATTCTGTCACTTGATAGGCTGTAAACTCTTTGGGAGCAGGAATTGTTTCATTTCTGTCTTTGTGTCCCCAGCATGTATCATGGTGCCTGACACACATAATCGGCATGTAATAAATGCTTTCAGAGTTGGATTTGTTCTGTCTGGTTCTAGGAGACAACCAGAAACAAGGGGTAGAATTGGCTAAGACGTAGATTTGGCCTTTAGATTATGGAAAACATTAACAGTCAGTTTGTCCAAAAATTAGAATGGACTGCCTTGACTGAAAGTAGGTTCCTCTTCAGAGGTCTTCCAGCAAATTTGCTCTCTGACTCCAAACCTCTTTCCCCTCGACTTTCCTGAGTAAACACTTCCCTGGCCATCACTCCCTCTTGTTGTACCCTGTCCCCTATTAGAATATAAGCTCCTTGAGGGCAGGGATTGTATTGTTTTGTTTTGTATTCTCAGCATTTGGCCTGGCTTTATTATTCACTCTTTGTTCATTCATTCCTTACTATCTGTTATATGTTCTGTGGAGGATCTTTTTTCAGGTAAGGTGTGGACTTAGAGGTCTTTTCTAACACTAATATTCTGTGATGTTTTCACTATCAGTGCTTATGTGCTTTTTCTACAGGTGGAGTCTTTTTACTTAAGATTGGCAAAAATCAAGCAAGTTAATAAGATTTCTCTTAATAACTTCTTACAGATAAACATGACATCCTTTCAAGAAGTCCCGTTGTCAAGCACTCTTCAGACTTCCAACTTTGCACACGTCATCTTTCAAAATGTGGCCAAGAGTTATCTTCCTAATGCCCACCTGGAATGTCATTACACTTTGACCCAGTATATCCATCCACACCCAAAGGATTGGGTTGGCATTTTTAAGGTGAGAACACTTGAACCAGTCTTCCCTAATGGATTTAGGCAGGCAATTGGATGTTGGTTTAAAGGTTATCTTGAAACAACAGTTATTAAATTGAACCTATTTTAACTTTTCATACTTCTCTGTGACTGTAATTTCTTGCTAAACACAGATAAGAATAAAGTGATCACAAGTTTATTTCAGTGATTCCTCTCCTGGAGTTAGAGCATTTGTGTTTTCAGTAGGACTTAAAATCGCAGAACAATTGCTGATCTGCCTTGGGAACTGGTGGTTTCCTTCTTGGGAACTCCAGTTCTAACTTGGCGGTTTGTGAACTTGCTTTTGGAATATTTTGATAGCTGCATTTCAATAGTATTGATCTTTTAATCCTATATATTTTATTTTATGTATATAAAAGATAAGAACCTTATTTTACAAAAAGGTCCATAGACTTCATCACACTGCCAAAGAGAATTGCAAAAAAGGTCAAGAATCCTCGCCTTAATTTAGCCGGTGACTGTCCTGTTCTACTTTCTTTATGGGCTTCTAGATAGTGGGATTTCTAATTTGCATTTACTTAAATATATTCTGGTTATACAAAAATAATTTGTAGTTTGTTTTAAATGAATTTGGCTTGCATAGTTTTTTTTCTTTCTTTACAAATTTTTTTCATTCTGCTCCTTAGCATCCCTCAACAAAGCATTTCCATACACACAACACAACACAAAAAGAGGATTCTCTATGGAACGGCGAATCTTCATTTCATATTATGGTTATTTGCACAACTACCTTGCCTGCCTCTCTGTGCTTCCTTTTAATCTTTTCTCTGTGTAAAAAAAATGTTTCCAAGGCTGTATTTTTTTGGCATCACTATTAAAAACTCCCCCCCAACCCTCCAATTAACAAGAGAAAGAAAGGAAAAAGACTTGTAACAAGTAAACGTAGTCCAGAGAAAGGAATTCCTATAGTGGTCATGTGCACCATGGGGAGCCAGGGTGTTGTGGGTGTTTGTCCTTCATTCTCGAAGAGGACTGATGACATCATGAGTGGGATGGACAGACTTGTGTCTGACAGATTGGATTGGAGTGAGGCAGAGTTGTCAGCCTCACTCTCTCCTCCGGAGTCGTTGGAGTCCAGCGTCAAGGCAAAGGTCAAGATGACTGGCGATGGCCCTGGGGACTGGTGAAATGGAGGTTGCCTTAATAGAAGTGGGGAAGTGAGGAAGAGGGCCAGATTTTGGAAAGTGGGATTCCAAGATGATTCATGAGGTGCTTCTGGGACATCTGGAGGTGTATAGGTGGAGATGGGGGACTGGAGCTCAGGAGAGAGATGAGTCTGGAGAGGTGGCATTGTATAAAGCTGAAGTTGAATCCATGGGAGCATATGATATCACTGAGAGCATGCAGAGAAATAGGAGTGGGGTACACCTAAATATGGGGAGTACATGGGCGATAATTCTTGAAAGGTTCCTGAAAAATGTTGGTCAGCCTCGGGGTAAGGGAGCCATCCCTTGCAGATCAGTGTGTATCCAACTGGGTGGTACTCACCAGGATCCAGGCGCGGCGTGAGAAAGGCCTTGGAAGAGTCAAGGGAGCACGCTCTCAGAGGTCCAGCTGCATGGAGTGGAAGAGCATTTGTGTGCAGGAGCATCAGTGGAAAGGGCAGCCTGGATCAGCTTCCAAGGAGCTCATAGGGTCACTTGGGGAGCCCTTGAACAGTGTTTTGTCACCAATGTTGTGAAGCCCTTTTAATTAAAATGCCACTTGTAAAATTGTCAATCACTCACTTATAAAATTATTTCTGTGCAATGGTTCCTTTCCTGTAACTTTGTTTCAGCTGGTGTTTGTGTGGAAACAATTGGTGACAGGCAGGGTGGGGATTTTTCTAAAGGGCTGTGGTTTAGGTTGGTGTTAGCCCAGAGTATATATTTCAGCCATGTCCTTAGATTGGCAGCCCGGCACGTGTAATGCTTGGATGCTGATTTTCAGGTCTAAGTCAGTAATTTTTGTGGGTGTAGGAATCCTCCTCTTCTAGCTCCTCCCCTTCTCTGTTAGTTGCTTGCTTAGTTATGTGTTAGTGAAGAAATCTTATGCCTTTTCTTCTGCTCTAAGTAGGCATTATCATACAGTTTTTAATTTTTACTGTCATATGCTCTCTGGCAGTTGGCTTCTTCTTTTCCATATTGAGTTCTTTTTGGCTTCATTTCTTTCTGGATAGTGATAGATCTTTTCCTGGTAGTATTTCAGTTTTTAGTTATATATTGCCACTTAATAAGATAAGCTGTGAGATGGATAAAAATATATATATTGAATATGTTAATAGCTTACTGACAAGTAAGGAGCTAGGAGATTAGCTTTCCTCTCCTCCTCCTCCCTTCTCCTAATTTTCCTTCTCCTCCTCCTTTCTTCTCTTCCTCTTCGCTCCTCACCTGTCTGTCCCTGCCCTGTCTTTCCCTTTCCTCCCATGTCTTCACCTCTCCTCCCCGTCCTCCTTTCTCCTCTTCTGTTCTCCTCCTCTATCCTCTCCTTCATTTTCATCTTGCCTGTTCAAACACCAGATAAGATGAGCATGCCCATATACCAAGGAGACCAGAAAAATAAGGATTGGTCGTACATAAAACTGTGAATCATTATGTTCAGCTTGTGTTTCTTTTTAAGTATATAATAAATTTAACATCTTTCATAGCTGTCCTACCTGTCTGTGTTTCCTTTTGAATTTTTTTCTTTTGTGAATTAAAAAAAAATGCTTCAATAATCCTCTTTTTGTTCTTTTTATGGCAACATTATTGCTAGCTCTGTTCTCCCACTAAATCCCTCTCCCTCAAATAAAAAATAAACAACAGCAATTTGTAACATAAGTATAGATAGTCAAGCAAAACAAATCCTTGCATGTGCCATATTCACAAATGTATGTCTCATTCTGCACCTTGAGTCCATCATCTCTCTGTCAGGAAGTGGGTAGTATGCCGCTTAGCATTGATTGAAGTTCTAACATCTTATTTAGTTGTTTATCTTTATTATATTCTTATTATGTAAATTATTGTTTTTGTTTTGTATCAGTTCACATCAATTTTCCCGGGTTTCTCAAATATAGTCCCTCCCATCATTTCTTAATGCACAACAATATTTCATTATATTCATGTACTGTAATTTGTTCAGCCATTCCCTAAATGAATTCTTTGCTTTAACAAAAAGTTAATTTAAATACATTTGTAGATGAGGATTCTTTTTCACTTTCTTTGATCTCTGGGGGCATAGACCTTATAATGGTATCCCTTGATCAGAAGAATATGCACAGTTCAGTAACTTTAGGGGCACAGTTCCAAATTGTGTTCCAGAATGACTGGACAATTTAGCAACACCACAAACAGTGAATTAGTGTTTTTATTTTCTTGTAGTCTTCCAACAGCTGTCATCGTTATCAATCTGATGCGGCTGAAGCAGGATCTCAAAGTTGTAGAGATTTGGAGCATTCTTTGATAGGACTGTAGATAGCTTGAACTTCTCTTCCTTTGAAAACTACTTGTTTGTAGATTGACCATTAATCTATTCAGGAATGGCTCTTGTCTGTCTATCTGTCTCTCTCTGTGTATACATATATGTATATGCGTATGTTGTATAAACATCATTTCCTTAGGTCTTGGATATAAGACCTGAGAAACTTGTAGCAAAGATTTTTTTTTCTCAGTTCATTCTTTCCCTTTGAGTTTTACTAGCATGCATTTTATTTGTACAAAAACTTTAAATTTTAGTAATTGTGATTGTGCATTTTATCTTGTTAAGACCCTCTCTATCAATAACTTCTTTGGTCATGGACTCTTTCTCCATCTGTGGTTGTCGTAGGTAATTTTCTTTCTTGCTCCTCTAATTCATTTAGACACGTATCCATGTGGCACTTGTCTTTGCATATTGTGTGAGATGTTGAAGTAAACATAACTCCTACCACACTGCTTTCTAGTTTTCCTAACACTTTTTGTCTAACAGTTGAGGTCTTTGGGGTTATCAAACACTATGGTACTGTGTTTCATTGCTTTGCTATGTTGGGTAACTGAACCATACTACTGATTGACTTCTATTTTTAACCAGCACTAAATTGTTTTGATGATCATTGCTTTACTGTTTGGTATGTCATATTCCTTTTCTCTATCCATATGCATTTTCTTAGATTTTTTTTTTTATTAATTCATTTTGATTTATCAACAATCACTTCCATAAGCTTTTGAGTTTTAAATTTTTCTCCCCCTCCCCACCTCCCTCCCCAAGATGGCATGCAATCTGATATAGGCTATACATATACATTCCTATTAAACATATTTTCATGTTAATGATGTTGTAAGGAAGAATTAGAACCAATAGGAGGAACCACCAGAAAGAGGAAACAAAACAGAAGAAAAAAAATAGCAAATAGTATGCTTCAATCTGCATTCAAATTCCATAGTTCTTTCTTTGGATGTGGATAGCATTTTCCATCGTGAGGCCTCTGGAGATGTCTTAGATCCTTTTCTTGCTGAGAAGGGCTAACTCTGTCAGTATTAGTCATTGCACAGCATGGCTGTGTACAATGTTCTCCTGGTTCTGCTCACTTCACTCAGCATCAGTCCATACAAGTCTTTCCAGGTTTTTCTGAAGTCTGCCTGCTCATCATTTGTTATTGCACAATAGTATTCCATTAGATTTTTTTTTTTTTTGAGCGACATTGACTAATCAAGGGACAGTTTACTGTGTATTTGGAAACTATCTGCTATTCAATTTCTATAGGATCTTTTTATAGAATTTAGTTAATAGCTTAATAAAAATTCATGATAAAATTTTGACATGCTTGTTAAAATAATTTCTCAGCATTATTAAATGTATATTTTGGCTTTAGGATGCAGTAAAATGGTATGTTTTGGCATGTTGTAAGATATTATAATGTTATCTTGAACTATTTATTTGTAATCAAATGATTCATTTGGGTGTTTTCTTTCAGGTTGGTTGGAGTACTGCTCGAGATTATTATACATTTTTATGGTCTCCAATGCCTGAACATTATGTGGAAGGGTCAACAGTCAATTGTTTATTGTCCTTTCAAGGTGAGAGACCTCCTGTGAAATCTGATAGAAGTATATGTCTTACTGGCATAAGCTTTTTAAAAAGTTTCATCTAGTGTAATGTTCTATTTAGCTATGTAGTTATTGAGAGGCTGGGGGACTAAGACAAGTTTTGTTTATCAAAATTTGGAAACTTATTTCCTGTCACCTCATTCCCTAATCTTTTAGTACAGATCATAATAGATTTTTCTCCAGCTCAACTTTTGGTAAATGATTTTATTTTCTTTGATCTGTGTTCTCCAGACATTATTTTCGTGTCAGTTTCAGACTAAAGTTTAAGAACTCTAGTACTGATCTTAGAATAAGGAGAAAAATTGGCAGTATCAAGGGCCTTAGGCGAATGTCTTCTTTGTAGTTCCTACTTGGGCTTGACCCTTGGGAAACAAATCAGCAAATGGTAAGACGACTGGCTAGAAGAAGACTTGACCGTTGGGATCCTGATAGAGCCCCTTGCCTGTCTTGTGAATATATTATGATTTTTTGGTCATTGTGGGAGATTTTCTGATTAATGAGGATTCAGCTATAAGATAAAAACTTAGATATTAAATTAGAATAAGTGAATCTGTGATTTATTTGTTTGATCTGTGTCTGTGGACGGCACCAGGAGTGATGGTGGGCAGAATTATTTTACTTGGAGGTAGATGGAACAGATTCATCTCTCTTTGGACTGTGGACAGGTTCAGAGTGAGTTATTTGGCTTTATTAATGAGACTAGAGTTCTCTAGAGAATTCCCTACTATCCTGGAAAAGTTGTATTATCTGCAGAAGCTGATCAGTTTTCTTTTTACCGAAATATGAGATTGACAGTTTTAATTGCAGTTTAGTAAGTTTTTAAAATACTTAATTATTTGAATAAGATGGGATCAAGTTTTTATTTATTTAGCTATTCTACTTGATAATTTACCTGATCTTTTGAAAAAAGATATTGATGTCTTTAGTTTCTGTATCATTTCCGTTTCCCAGGGTAGCCCCAAAGGAAGACAAGTATCGAATGCATTTTTATGTTTTAAGAAAATATAATTGTCTTGTTTACAAAGACTATTGTATATTTAAACAGTGTAATATTTGTGTCAGGATAGTAGTTGTTAGTATGATATTGCTTATGAAATATAAATTTAAAGCTGTTCTGCTGTGTGGCAGCAAAACCATGCTAGGGAGGAAGATTTTTTGCTGTAATGAAATTATATATGTACGTTTGGTCATTTTCTCAGTTGTCTGATGCCATGAGACTAAATCTTAAGAGGCCTTATATGAAATTTGATCAATGAAAACCATTTTTAGTTGGGTTTTTTTTTTTTTTGGTGTAGTCACATGTAAAAGATTTTATTGGGTTTTTTCTTTTGCCTTTGTTTCCTCTTATGTCCTTCCTTCTTTGTCTAGAGTACGAATTCTAACTTATTTTAACATTCTCTTTTATTTTGAATTTCAAATTCCCTCACTCTTTCTGTGTCTTGTCCCTGCTCATTGAAAGGGTAAGCAGTATGATAACCATTATACATGTGGAGTCATGCAAAGCGTGTTTCTCTATTAGCCATGCCTCCAATAAGAACAGCAACAAAAGCAAACCAAGAAAAATAAAGTGAAAAACAACAGGCTTCAGTCAGCACTCAGAGTCCAGCGGTTGTCTCTCTGGAAGTGAAGGACGCTTTCAATTATGAGTAGAAGTCTAACCTTAAAAAAAAGAAAAATGAGCAAAACTAGCCAAGCCAGCCATCAAGTCTGATACTGTGTGCTGTGCTCTATGACCTTCCCCCCACCTCCACAAAGAAGAGGAAGGAGAAATTTACGATTTTTCGCTTCTAGGGTCAAGCCTTGGTTATTATAATTATTCAGCATTTGGTTTTGATTTTTATTATTTCCATTTACATCTTTGTCCCGTGTAGGTTTTTTAGTTCATATAAGTTTTCTCATTTCTTAGGACATGGAATGTTCCATTATGTTTATGCTTTGTTTAGTCATTCCTCAATCTGCTTTGTTTCTCATTCTTTGGAGTCCCATTTTTGTTCTCTACGATGTTGTGATAGAAGGGGTGCTGGACTGTGAGTCAGCATTTACATCATCACTAGCTGTGTTACCCTAGATAGTTCACTTGTCTCTGTATGCCTCCCATCATCTGTAAATTGAAGGCATTGCATTAGATGACCTTTAAGGACCCTTCTGTAATTACTCATAATGGAAATTGTTCTTAAATGATGTAATCTCTAACTTTGCATAATTACCCCTTCCACTGCAAAGAATACAGGAATGACAATTTTCTGATGACGGAAGGACTGTACCTTTTTGGTGTATGGTAATTTTTCTTTTTTAAGTAATAATAAAACCAATACAATAAGGCAAGGTCAAACCAGTGAAGTGTGGCATATTTCCTTGTGAAATTTTAAACAAAAAGATCTTGGTTTTGAAATAATTTTTTTACATTGATACATTCACAATAAATGTTTTGATCAATTGGGAGTGTTGTTGTTATGTGATTGTTCTTTTATGTGGCTTTTACTCAAAGGAGCTCAAGATGCTCTTGATGAAGAAAATAACCAACAGCCTTTATTAACTTTTCCTGTTTTTAAGGCGACAGATAGTAAAGTAGACAACTTTAACTGTTGGTCTTATTCCTACTTCTATACCTTTCGAACAAATGACTTTTTGCAACGTTACTTTACTGCAAAAGAAAAAGGAACTGATTAATGATGAGAGAGTACAAGGCATGGGAGAAAAGTAGGGGAAAAAACCTTTGAGATTGTTAGATAGAAAAAATTCTACATTTGGTATTAGTATTTTGCTGGGTACATGATGTTCGGTAAACACTTTTTTGATTTGGGTTGTTACTGCCTTTCTCTCTTAGGGTATTACCTTCCAAATGATGATGGAGAATTTTATCAGTTCTGTTATGTTACCCATAAGGGTGAGATTCGAGGAGCAAGTACACCATTCCAGTTTCGAGCATCTTCTCCGGTTGAGGAACTGCTGACTATGGAAGATGAAGGGAATTCTGACATGTTGGTGGTCACGACGAAAGCTGGCCTGCTTGAGGTTTGTTTCAGTAGAGATTTATACAGACATTGAGGCAGCTAGTTAGTGGGTAGAATGCCAAATTAGTAGGTAATTGTTTCTTAAAGATTCTCACTTGTAACCAAAAAATTCTTAGCATGACCTCATAATATAGACGTTTAGGATAAAACTTTAAACATTTTTTCTTTCAACATTTAACAATAAGAGCAAACATTTACATAGCGCTTCACAGCTTACAAAGTGCTTCATTATATTTTTTTCTTACAACTTGTGAAATAGGTTCTGATAAGGCCTTTTTACAGATGAATGGCAGGTCTCAAACTCAAACCTTCCTGGTTCCAATGTCTTGGGGTGTTGGAGAAGCATTCCAGTGTTAAAAAGTCATAGCACCTTTTAAAGCAGGACTTTGGCCTGCCTTTCCTAGGCTACTGTGCCACAGAAAGCATGGCAGCAACTGTGGGCATTTCTGCTCACTGAGCGGCACAGAACACCTACTAAGCACTAGCTGCCGGCAAGAGGTTACCACGTGAGAAGTTCTGGGGATATATAGATACAAATAAAATAGATTGTTCCATTGGCTTCTTTAGCCAATGGGAGGGGGGGGGGGGGGGGAGAGGGGAAGCGGGGGAGAGAGAGAGAGATAGATTCCTTCTCTATAAGACAGGAGTAGCTGTGCTTGCCCAGCATCTATCATTGAGTGGTTGTGAGAAGGCTTTGTGGAAAGGAAAGGAGCTCCGTTCATATGAACTATTGCTTCAGTTAGTATTTGCTTTCCTTGGAGAAATCAGGATGGGTGTGGCTGTTGCAATTATCTCATCCTCTCCCCTACCCTGCCTTTTTGTAATGTGTGGATGTCTTCCCACCATAAGTTTTCATAGGTAATCACTTATTGCCAAATCAGGTTTATTCTGTTTTGATCTCAAAAGGAACAGGGCCCAGTTGTTTTGGAACTTAGTGGGGTTGCAGAGGATAGAGCGCTGGGCCTGGAGTCAGGAAGACCTGAGTTCAGATCCTGCCTCAGACACTTAATTAGCTGTGTAACCTGGGCAAGTCACTTTACCCTGTTTGCCTCAGCTTCCTCATCTGTGAAATGAGCTGGAGAAGGAAATGGCAAACCCCTCCAGGATATCTGAGCAAATCCCAAGTGGGGTCATGAGGAGTCAGACACACTGAAATGCCTGAACAGAAGAGTGACTCCATTTATGTTTTGTTAGGTCTTAGAAAGGGAGGAACAAAGGTTACTGCCCTTCACATCTTCACTCATCCCAGCTCACACATTTCATACTTTGTGCAAAATAGTTTGCTGGGTGCTGGGGGAGGTACAGAGTTTAAATAAGATACAGTCCCTCCTTTCATGAATCATGTAGTCAAACACAGAACAGCATACGAAGAGCACTTGGTGCAAAACAGAGTCAGGAAGACCTGAATTCAAATCCACCTTCGGTGCTTTCTAACTGTGTGACTCTAGGTTAAGTCACTTAACCTGTTCGCCTGACAAGGATCCACTGGAGAAGGAAATGGCCAACCACTCCAGTATCTTTGCCAAGAATACCCCACGGACAGTTATGGTCCATGGGGTCATGAAAGGTCAGACATGACCAAACAACAACAAAAGTTCATGTAATAGTTTGCAAATAATTTGTCCTTTTTCTAGATTTGTGTTGGAGTGTGGTATAGTAGAAAGCAGTGGGCTTGGAGTTTGGAGGTCCTGGGTTCTGGTACTGCCTCTGACACTTTTGAAAACTGTGTGGCGCTGGGCAAGCCACTTAACCCTCTGGGTTTCAGTTTCTTCAAATGTAAAATGAGTGGGGTTGGACTCCTTGGCTTCTAAGTTTCCTTTCAGCTTTAAACCTGTGATCCTGTGATTCCTTTTGTTTTTATGGTCACCTACATTTCCCAACATATGCTCTCTCCTCCCTCTTCCAGAGAATAAAAAGAGGGTAAAAAACAGTTCAGTAGAACTATCGTATCAAACAAGCCTGACATTCCATTACAGTGTTCCACACCTGTAGTCCCTAACCTCTGCAGAGAAGCAGGGGGAAATACCTTCTCAGTCCCTTCTCTGGGGCCACCCTTGGCCAAGATAATACAAACAAATAATTCAAAAAGACTGTCTTTTGCCATCTGCCTGAGCCTGGAAGCCCAGGTTCGTGCCACCCTGATCTGCAAGGGGAGCTTCGGTCTGCTTTGTTCCTGACCTGGGCTGAGCTGCTTTGCCATCCTTCACCACCCTCGGAGCCCCCACCATATTCATCTGCCCACTTAGCCTTCCTGGCAGCCCATGGCCGGCAGCCTGATGGTTTCACAGTGGTCAGTTTCAGTTGTTTGGTCATTATTCTTTCCATTTCCGTTATTAGAGTCATTTCAGAGTCTCCTTTTCCCAAGTCTAATTACTTCATTTTGTACCTGGGTCTTCCCGTGCTTCTTTGTAGTTGTCATGCTCATTATTTCTTCAAGTACAGCGTTGCTTCATTATATATACCAAAACTTACTTGGCTAGTCCCCAGTGGGTGGGCATTTACTTTGTTTTCTGTTCTTTGCTGCCACAAAAGGTGCTGTTCCAAACATTTTGGTGTATGTGGGGGTCATTGGCTTCCTTGGAATGTAGGCCTACTTGCATGTAATTTTACTTCCAGCTTAATTATTTTAAGAATTAAGAATGTGGAAAGTAGACACCTCCCCTTTTAAAAAACCAGTGGTAGATATATTTTTGTAGAAATATGTACGACTAAGAAAGCTAGAAGCAACTGATATTTTTCTTGGGAATCCTTCCATTTTATTCCCCCACTCCCGAAATTCCTGTCTTATCTTATATAAATAAATTTAACTTTTATAGGGTGGCTAAAACATTTTGTAGTGACAACTGCTTAATGATCAAGGTTTTTAGCCTGGTATTTGATAGTTCGTCAAAGCCTGAAACAAACCGTCCCTCTTGAGAAGAATGTTGTTATGACTGATAATGAACAGCTTGTTGGGTACTCCTTAGACCACCCTGATTTCAGGAACTCTACCAAACTCCTCCTTGTGCATTTAATCCTTGTGATGCTTATTGCTTTCTATTTCTCCTAAGTAATTGTGTGAAGTGGCATTAAAATTTTTCTCAGTTCATCCTCATCTAATAAGAGGGCTTTATAGAAAGAAATTTGGAACTGTTTGCTTGTTAGGTAGAACATTTCCTTCTGTGTCCTTCTATATTTCCCTTTTAGAATGTCAGCCTGGAATTAGAATGTCCAGAGTTATGTGGGCTTGTAGTTTAGTCTTCTCTTTTTTTTTTTAAACAGATAAAGTTGAATCACAGAGTTTATGTACATGTAAGCGATTGGGTGGTCATGCCTCCAAGGATCAAACACAGGTTCCCCACTGACCAAGCTGATTTTGTTCTCAAAATCAGTCAGGCACAGGATCAATCAACATCCCCTTCCCTACTCCACCCCATGGAAATGTAAGCTTCTTGAGGGCAGCAAGTTTTGCTGTTCTTTTCCTCTTGATTCCCAGCACCCAGCATAGTGCTTTCCACACATTCTAGGCAGGCACTATGTGGAAGTCAATACAATGGGAACCAAGGGTGCAAAGATACCACTAAAACAGTCCCTGTTCTCAGGGAAGCTACATTCTATCAGGGAGAACATAGGAATGCAATTAAGTCAATACAAAATGTCTAACTGTATGGAATGAATCATTTGTGGAGACTGTGATGCAACAGAGACCAAGCAGTGGAAAGTGACTTGCCCAAGGTCACACAGGAAGGTGGCAGCAGAGCAGAGACAGAAAGCCCCTTCTCCTGACCTTGTCTAGGGCTTTTTCAAGCTTTTTCAGTCTCTCACTTTAAGGCAAATGTAGTGTATTTAACACACCCAAATCTACATATTCCGGTTAAAAATAAATTGCAATGTTGTCAATAAATTAGAGGCCTCACCAGGCCTGTGATTGTATTGGTGTAGTGAATCCCCTTTACCAAAGCAAGTCTCTTACGCCTTCTGTGATGGCAGCTCAGTTGTTGTCAGTAGTCCCAAGAGGTCAAGTGATTGGTCCAGGGTAACCGAGCCAGCCTGTATCAGAGGTGTGACTTGAGCCTAGATCTTTGACTGTGAGGCTCGTACTTTGTCCACTGCACTGGATATCAGATGTGCAGCCACAGGCTGCCCTCAGTACTCCCAAGTGCCACTTGCACCAGATTAAAATGTAATTGGGGAAATTTCAACAAAATAAGTAAATTCAATAAAACACAGATAACACAACATTCTAAAGCTAAGTCATCCTGGCGGCTGCAGGGACCCCTGTGTGAGGCTGTGTGGCCAGTGTGACCGGGCTGTCACTTCAAGGTCACTCTCAGTGAGAGTCTTTTTACTCAGCAGAAGGCAGTTAAAGCTCATAGGTTCCAAGTGGGGAATTCTGGGGGGAGGTACAGGCCTAATGGCTCCAGGTCCCTCTGGACCTTGGGGATGTTCTATGTTGATTGACAAGTTACGAAAACTTGAATTTAAGAGATTCCTAATGGCTGTGTGTTCCTAGAGCACAGTGCAGCCACATTCTCCAGGCTGGGGTCCTGGTCATGGGCTTCTTTAACCCCAGCTTTGTGGAAGGGATGTTTCTGGTGGGGAGCCAAGCTTATGAAAGGGTTTTTAAGAGTCCAGAACACCAAGCGGAAAGCAAGCAGGAAGAAGTAGTCTGAATTCAAGTGCAAACAAGGTGACCATCAGTGAATAGAAGCTATCTGCAGGGACTGTGGAAAAGACTAGTTCTGTGGGTCATGTTTAATAAAAAGAGTGCTGGGTTGGGAGTCCAGAGACCACTTAGGATGTGACTGTAGACAAATAATTTTACCCGTCACCTAGCCACCTCATTTCCCACATCTATAAAATGGGAACATTGGAAGAGATGATTTCTAAGGCCTCCTATCCCTGAAAAGCCTGCAGTTCCTGCAGTCTTTTTACTCTGAAACATTCCCCCACAATGCCTACCCTTCCCCTTTTCTCCTCTTGGTGGGTTCCTCTTGGAGCATTGGGCTCAGAGCTCAAAGCAGCCTGCTGCCTGCCTGCCTGCCTGCCTTCTCCAGGCCCTGTCCAGAAGCATGCCTCCTCCTGCCCTCCTTAGCTGCCTTTTGTGCATCATCATCCCCCAGTAGATTGTATGCTCCTTGAGGACAGGACCTGTCTTTCTTTTTGCTTGTGTTTGCATCCCTAGTACTTAGAACAATGCCTGGCACGTAGTAGGTGCTTAAGTGTCAGTATGACAGACAGTTATAGGATCTGGAATTTCTGTGATTTCATAAAAGCTCTCTAACACAATATATGAGAGAGTATATAGAGCTGAAAGGGATTGTAGAGGGCATACGGTCTATTCTCCTTATTTGACAGATAAGTGAATATACACTCCCAGATGTCATGCAAGGTCCCCTCGCTGTTGCTGATAGCAAACATTTTACATAGTGCTCACTACGTGCCCTGCCGGGCACTGTGCTAAGCACCTTACAGTCATTTAACCCTCACCACAATCCTACTAGTATTATCCCTATTTTGTAGATAAGGAAAGTGAGGCAAGTAGAAATAAAGTGACTTGCTCAGGGTCACACAGCTACAGTGTCTAAGTGTCTGAGGCTGGATTTGAATTCAGTTCTTCCTGACTTTGGGTCCTGTGTGCATCTGCTGCACCACCAAGCTGCCCCTAAGTGAAGCTGGGACTAGAAAGCAGTCTATTGACTTCCATACTGCTGCTCGTTTTACTTCACTGGAGTACTTGCCAATTACTTCATAAATAAGATGAAGAAATCCTTGCTAAGATTTGCTTGAGTTTTTCCTCTGCAAGTGGAGGCTACCCTTAAATTTGCTTCCCAGGGATATGTCATAGTATTGATAAAAATGGATCCCCGTAATATGGAGGTAGGAAAGACAAATTCTGTAGTAATGATTTTCCAGTATTTGAAGATCATACACATTTTTCACATGTGGTAAATGTCAATTTATGTACACTGTGACAGTTCTCTTCCTGTGTGGGTTTAAACAAATAAATGAATAAATTTCCGAGCAGCCCTTTTGTCTTTTTCATCAGACCAAATGAATACTTCAAAGAGCTGACCACATTGGTAAGAACAGATGATAACCCTTGGTTTGGGTCACTAACAGCACTCTAAGAGTAAGTGCCCAAACTTAAGACTCATTTCTCTGACTTCTGTAATTTGAACAGGGATGTGAACATAGGCTCTCACGAGCGCTGCTTTAGTTTCAAACTTGTGGGAGGGAGGTGTCTTGCAAGAAAAGACAGTTTTGTTTTTTAACTGGGAGAGAAAAAGTGAGAAGTCAAAGCCGAAAGGTCTCTCCTTTGGGCTAAGATAAACTTTGTGGTGTCTTGCTAATTTGCTACAGTTTTAGCCATTGTTAAACATGTTCACAATAAGAAATGTGGAGACCATACAGAATTGTGTGTGTGTGTGTGTGTGTGTGTGTGTGTGAATTCTCTATGAATTCATAGAGAAGAAGAGAGAAAAACTCGACTAAGCCTAGACTGTTGGATACCAAGCTTGATGGTGAGCCTTCAAGGGAGACTGAGGGAGGAGTGAGCATTCAGACAAGAGCAGAATCAGTAGAGAGCAGTGTTTTGGAGGCCAGAGGAGAGAGATTCCAGGACGAGGAGATTGTCATTGATTTGGAAAGCTGAAGAAAGCTCAGGCCATAGAAGTGAGCAATTAAAAGCTCGGTAAGAACTCTGAAAAAGCAGTTTCAGAGAAGGGATTGGGTCAGAAGCCACATTCTATATTCCAAGGGAGTCATTAGATGAGGAAATGGAGGCTATGAGCGTAGATTCCTTTGAACTTTAACAATTTTATTTTTTCCAAATTGCATGGAAAAACAATTTTTAACCTTTTGTTTTTGTAATTTTGAGTTCCAAATTCCTTCTCACTCTCCATTTCCTCCCCCCCATCATCAAGAAGGCAAGTAGTTTGATAAAGGTTATACATGTGCAGTCATGCAAAACATTTTCATATTAGTCATGTTGTGAAAGAAAACAGACCAGAAAAACCCCCAAGAAAAATAAAGAAAGAAAAACTATGCTTTGATTTGCATTCAGATTCCATTTGTTACTTCTTTTGAGGTGGATAGCATTTTTCATCATAAGTCCTTCAGAATTGTCTAGGATCTTTGTATTGTTGGGCGTAACTAAGTCATTCACAGTTGATTATTGGACAGTATTGCTGTTCATTTGTACATTGTTCTGCTCACTTCACTTTGCAGCCACTCATGTAAGTCTTTCCAAGTTTTTCTGAAATCTGCCTGCTCGTCATTTCTTATGGAACATAGTGTTCCATCACAATCAAATACCCTGGGCTCTTCAGCCATTCCCCTCAATTTTCAAATTTTTGCCACAACAAAAAGAGCTGCTATAAATATTATTGTACATATAGGTCCTTTTCCTGTTTTTTTTTTCTTTTTAACCTCTTTGGGATACAGACCTAGTATTTGTGGGTCAAAGGAATAGTGGCTGTACATATACATACATATTATATACATATACATACACTATACTATACTATACTATACTATACTATACTATACTATACTATAGCCCTTTGGGTATAGTTTCAAATACCTTTCCAGAATGGTTGCATTAGTTCACAATTCTACCAACAGTGTATTAGTGTCCCATTTTTCCCGCATGCCCTCCAGCATTTGACATTTTCATTTTCTGTCATCTTAGCTGGTCTGATAGGTGTGAGGTAGTACCTCAGAGTTGTTTTAATTTGCATTTCTCTAATCAATAGTGATTTGGAGCATTTTTTCATATGACTACAATATAGCTTTAATTTCTTTATCGGAAAACTTCCTGTTCATATCCTTTGACCATGTATCAATTGGGGAATGACATTGTTATAAATTTGACTTAGTTCACTATATATTTGAGAGATGAAGCCTTTATCAGAGAAACTTGCGGAACATTTTTCTCCCCATTTTCTGCTGTCCTTCTAATTTTGTCTGTATTGGTTTTGTTTGTGCAAAACCTGTGTAGACGCCTTCGACAAGAGTATAGGAATATAGCTTGAAGGAGGACGGCAGAGCTAAAGGGATGTTTTGAGGTAGTGAAGCAGAGGAGATGAAGGAGCTCAGGACAGATGACCTCCATTTTTGTGAAAGACAAAGTCAAGCTGTCTGCTAAGATAAGGAGGATGGAGCGGAGTTGAGGGACGGCAGTGTTAATGCTTTCGTTTTGGATAGTGTGCTAGCTGCTCAGTGATGAGTAAAGGCTTGCTTTGTAGTAGTAAGACCCAGAACTTTTAGCGGGTCCAGTTTGTATTGTGGTGGTGTTTGTTCTTTGTCTCATTAGGTGACAGCTGTAAGGATCCAGAGAAGGCTGATGACAGTAGGTAACTTGAGCTTCCTAAGAGGAGAGAGGGGTTGCCGAGTAGTGATGGTGGGAGGGTCTGGAAGTGGCAGAAGGAGTGAGTAGAGTGTTGCCTTTGGTTATGTGCCTGGCAGGGTGTAAGACAAGAGCTATGCAGGAGTCAGGGATAAGATCTATTTAGGCTTGCTAGATGGTGTCCATGAAATTCCCATTTAGGTGCTCTTGTTTTTTTCTGAAGTTCCTGTTACTTAGAAATGCTTGACAAATATTTATAGTTTGCAGTGGAACTGGCCCCGAAGCCCAAACAGATCACTGCATAAATTACTGATTGTTCAGTACTTAGTGTAGAGATCCTGGGATCCTGGATCTAGAACTGGAAGGCCCCTTGGGGTTCATCTAGTCCAGTTTTTTAGATGAAGAAGCCGAGGTCTAGGAGAATCAGTGGACTTGCCCGAGGACGCAGATATTAAGTAGAGGTGGGAAGTCCACCCAGGTCCTCTACTTCTGAAGTCAGTGCTCTCTCCACTGGGCCATGCTGCCCTCTGTGTCTAGTGCAGTGCAGCTTTCAAAGGGTAGCTGCTACACTGACTGGCATTTGATTCCTACAGCAGCCCTGAGGGTGAGTAGGTGGTATCATGATCCGTGAGCCATAGTTTCCTCATTTGTAAAATAATGCTAATATCTATACTTTCTACCTTATAAGGTAGTTGTGATGATCAAGTAGGATAATGTATATGAAAGCCTTCCCATTGCTAGGGCACAAGTGGGGATCCTAGTCAGGGTTCACCATTTTGACAGATGTCTCTTAGGCTGACATTAAGGAGATGATAACCGGGGAGACATTGTGGTGGGAATCAGATCTGAGTTGAGTTCAACTTGGTGTTGGGCAGCTCTCTAAGAAAGTTGGGTAGCAGAGCAGGTGCTCATCTGTGGTGGTAGATAGACTTTCCTGACTGGGAGGAGGGAGCCTGTGGCATCCCTGCAGTAGCATTGAATATCCTCAAGGGCCATGGTGCTTTTGTTTTGGAATTTATTGTCACAGTCTGGATTAGGGTTAGCATGGGGGTGTCTGGCAAATAAAAGGTTCAGTAATAATTGTTTGTTTGAATTAAATCTACCATGACCACATCATTTTGTTTGAAATGTCCTTTGTTGGTGTTGAAGCTGTAGTCTGATGGCTTATTTCCTCCAGTATATATATAGTTATTGTTAATAACATTTCTTGCCAATGCCAAGATTTTTTTTTCCTGTTTAATATTGGGATTATGAAAGGATTTTTCCAAGTGAGGGTTGGTAGAGGTTTTTTGGCATAAGTAATGTAGAGATTGTGGTCTCTAGTAGCTCTTCATTCACTTATCGTAGCGGAAGAACAAACTTCAGAAAACAAACTTGCTTTTAAAATCTTAAAAATTTTAATTGACATAAGATGTCTTTGTTTTGTAGTTCAAAATTGAGAAAACAATGAAAGAAAAAGAAGAGCTGCTGAAGGTAACCAGTGTCCTGGAGAAGGAGACTTCGCAGCTCAGAGAAGAGGTTGGAAGACTGGAAAAGGAGCTTAGCAGTGAAAAGGAGAGAGGCAACCAGCTGCTAGGGGAAAACAAGGTGAGGCGTGGCACTGATGATGATCGACCAGTGGCAAAAGCCACCTTTTCCAAGAACCAATTAAATGGGGTAAAAACCAGCTATGGAAAAAGTCATTTACACAAGAATAGGTCAGTCCCTGTTAACCTTCTGCACATTGCCTTTTATGTTATAAAATGGTTAAAATACTTCAGACTTTTGGCACCAGGCTTGGTAAGGTAGTTCATGACAACTATTTCCAGATGTTTTGACAGTAATTGCAGCATTCAGGATAGAAAACCAATTTTTGCCTTTGTTTTTGAAATATTTTGAACTATTAACATGCTAAGAAAAGGGATCATAAAATAAAGCAATGAAAAACAATTGTTTTTCAGAAAAGAAGAATTAGGGAATTAACTTAGGAAGTGAGTAAGGGGGGTGAATTTTTGTAATTTTTGACCATAAAAATCAGTTTGAGGCACCTTACTGGATACCTAATTAAAGCTTAATTCCATCAGTTCTATTAAAGCTGGAAAATGCAAGATACAGAAAAGCATGGAGGGACTTCATTGAATGATATGTGTTTAAATTGGAAGAGGAAAAACAGTGAATAACTGTAAGAGTTTTGAAGACTTAGATACAATTATTATACAAATACTGACATATTCTTAGAGTACTGAATGACCATTTAGATAGTAAACAACAGCTGGAAGGGTATTTAGGACAAGGATTTACAAAAGAATAGCTTGGAGAATGTGTGGGAGTTTGTGAAAATTTTGAAAAAGTTCAATCAGAATCTCTTGTGCAATTGCCTCATGGGAGGCAGAAGACAGTTTATGTTCTTCCTCTCTTCCTACCATGAATGACTTCAGTTTATTGCTTTAGACAGTAAGTATCTGTTGAATCTTTTAATTTAGTAGAAATAACATTGGACATTTGAAGAGCTCTTTTAAGTTTTACGAAGTAGGTGTACATAATTATCTGATTTGTTCCTTCACAACAGCCTTATGAGGTTAAAATTGCAGATATATCCATTTTATAGATGAGGAAATGAGGATCAGAGAAGTTAATTGATTTCCTGAGGTCATACAGCTCAAGTACCACAGGTGGTGGGATTTGCATTTATTCTAACTTGATGTGAAGTCCAATCTGGTCTTCACAGAAAGATCCTACCTATATAAACCTCAAGAATTGGATATATATTTAGGCAGAATGGAACATGAAGTAATTTATTTATTAAGGTAAATTTATTAAATAAATAATATTTATTTATAAATACATACATTTCTTTATTAAGGTAATCCTATTTTCTTACTGATTTTTATTATAAATTTAGGCCTGTGATCTATGTGAAAATATTTTGGCTCTCCTGCTTCTTAAGACATAATGAATTTATGTATAAGAGCTGAAAATCTTTTTAAGAATTGTAAATTTGGAAGGAAAGCTATAAATGATTCATAACAGGGTGTTGCAAAAGCCTTTGCAGTTTTAAGCTATTAAAAACTTAGTAATGATGTCCCTAAAACTTAATGGTGTCCCAAAAGTCTTTGTCCAAGTTTAAGTTTTAATAACTTAAAATTGCACAAAGATTTTTGGGATACCCTGTATAGGGACTCCTGATTTATGCAGTAAACTTTTTATAAGAAGATTGTCTCGACATTGAATAGTTCTAAATGCAATAGGAGAACGGGCTGTTGTGATTCTTTTCATAAAATGAGTAATTTTTAAGGAACAAATTAGTAACTTAAAATAACTATTCTAGAATTACAAGGTCACAAATCTCGATGTTCACATATTTGGAAAGATAAAAAAGTGCCTTGAGGACAAAACTCCTATTTTATTTTCCTGACCCCAAACCTATGCTCTCCAGAGGTAAAAGGGCGTGGTTGAGACATGTGCCCCATTCCTTCTGTGGCAACAATCTAGTTGTTACTTTAAATCCTAGGAGCAGTATCAAGGACAAACCAGTCTGCTTAAAGATGGCCCATGGAGGAATTTGGCTTTGGTTTTAAAACAGGAAGAAAGATGAGTGTGGGGGAAGCATTTATTCTGAATTTTGCTTCACCATTTGTATGGGAAAGCAACAGAAAGGGGGTGAAATCATGTGGTTAGTCTGACACTAAATATACCTTCTGGTCCATATTTCAAGAATGTAGCTCTTAGAGACTATTTGTATTAGTCATTAATTGAAGCTGCCACTATTGGAAGTCATATTTTAGGGGGGGCAACACTAAATCACTTGGAACATAGCCACAGACCTTGCCTTGGGTCCAAATGACCATTGGGCAGTGAAGATAATTGCTTTCATAAAGCCCAGGTATTTTACTCCTGTAGGAGGACTTAGGTAGCTCTCCTCAAGCTAGTGGGTTTTTGTTTTTGTTTTTAAGGCAGCAGATTAGAAGCACAAGAATATTTAAACCACGAAAGGGCGAGAGAAGCTTAGTCAACGTTTTAGGGTGTGTGGATAGGCGTGATATTCAGAATGTGATCAAATGAAGAGCCACACACATTTCAGCAGCCTTTAAGGGTCCTGTGGTGGAGAATTGGATCTTACTGTAGAAGAGACTTAAGAAATGGAATTTTTCTTTACAGATAGATGTATGTAAGGACACTGGGCCCCAGATGTGCCTGTAATCATCACCATTGGCAGAGGTGTGACTGTGGTCCTCTTGATTTCCACACTTTCCCCATTTTGATTTCTCATAGCTTTTTCCACAGATCAAAACATAATTGATATTTATAACACTGTGGTTATGGCATTAGTCAGTAAGCATTTATGAAATACGTGCTGTGTACCAGGCACAGGGTTAAGTACTGGGGATACCATAAAAAGCTCCCTGCCATCAAGAAACTCAGTCTAGCGGAGGAGACAGGCAAACAACTGTGGAGAGAGACAAGCTCTATCGAGGATCAATTGGAAATAATCAGCAGAGGGAAGGCACTAGACTTAAGAGTTGTAAGGAAAGGCTTCTTTTAGAAGGGGGGATTTTACTTGGGATTTGAAGGAAGCTTGGGAAGCCAGGAGGCAGAAATGAAGAGGGAGAGTGTTCCAGGCATAAGGAGCAGCCAGGGAAGATCCTGGGAGCTGAGAGATGGGGTGTCATGTTCATGGAACAGCCACAAGGCCAGTGTTCCTGGGTGGAAGAGTGATAGGGAATAAGGTGTAAGAAGACTGGAAAACTGCAGGGAGGAGTGGGTTATGAAGAGCTTTGAATGCCAAACAACATTCTGTATTCGATCCTGGAGGTGATAGGAACCTCATTGTACCTATACTGGTGCAATGGAAAGAACCCTGAGTTTGGAATGGAATTACTGGATTCAAATCTCTCAGCTAATTATTTTCTGCCTGTGAGACTTTGGACAAGTCATTTTCTTTAGCCTCTGCTCATTTTTAAATTAAGAGGTTGGGTTAGATGGGTTCCTTCCAGTTCTGATGGGTGGTGTGAGTCCTTATGGCTCCCTATATTCAGTATCTTTTTTTTTTTTTTTTTTGTGAGGCAACCGGGGAAACTTGCACAGAGTCACACAGCTAGTGAGTGGGATGTGCCTGAGGCTGGATTTGAACTCAAGTCCTCCTGACTCCAAAGCCGGCGCTCTATCCACTGTGCCACCTAGCTTCCGCAGTATTTTTTTTTTTTTTTCCTAAGGAGACATCAGGTACATCATACATTTTAGAGGCTCTGAGGATTCTGTAGGTCAGCAGCAGGAATTGAAGATTAAAGGGCATTGTAGCAGCATTCTCTGGAGCGTCAGGTTTGAGCATTAAAGAGGTTCTGAGACAATGACCAGAAGCAATTTGTTTTCAGATCAGATTGTCTCCAGTCCACCATTGGGTATTGAAAAAAATCCCTTGTTGTTCTTTGACTAGATACAGTAAGGTCCTGATTAATGCAAATAAGGAGTCCTGTGAACTGATCATTTGCACTCATATTCACAGTATTTGAAGTAATAATTGTGTGAAATCTGGTCTTTCTTTCTAGCCCAATGGAAATATGCAGTATGAATCCAAGGAGTGCGATCACTTCATGGGATTTGTATTCACACTAATTAGGACCTAGCTGTTGTATCAGTAATGCTTCTCTGTGCAGAACAGGATGTCTAGGAGGAATCCAGCATCCTCAGGGTTCCGGACCATTCCTGCTGCTGTTGTCCTCCAAGGGTTGATCAGAATCCTTTATCATAGGGGCCCTGGAGAAGAAAAAAACCAAACCCAAATCAGACCTTTAGGTGAAAGTTTGTAACCTTAACCTCCAGATCAAGCTCCTCAGTCTAATTTTCCTACATAATATCTCCCTATCTTAACATGTTAAGCAGCCTTTTTTTCTTGCTACTTTCTACCATGAACCCCCTCTTGCCATCTCTCCAGGCCAGATTCTTCACTTTTTCTTATCTAACTCGTATTTATTACCACTTCTGCCAAAAGAGAATAGTTTTTCTGTTCTACTCTTAAGTCCTACCCTTTCAAGTATATCAAGATGCCTTCCTCTCCTAACTACACTAGCCAAGTTTTTCCTTTCCTTCTAAATTCCTATATATGTACAACCGTAATCCACAACTTTGTTCTTGTCTTGTTGTCTAATGTATTTTGTCTTTGTAGCTTGATTGTAAGCTTCTGTTGGGGGGGGGGGGGGGCGAGGCCCTAGCCTTTTCTTTTTCATTCATTCCCCCGATGGCAGCTTGTACTGGCTCATAGCCGGTGCTCATTATATTCTTGAATTGACTCTGAAGACCAAAAGAATGTTCTATAGTCATGTTACAAATTCACCTGATATCATTTCTGTTATGTAAAGGGATTCAAAAAATTTTCAGTGGCTTGTTTTTGTATTCACCACCTGATTCCTTTTTGGTTTGCCCTGGTTTCTGTTAGGCTGTGAACATAGCCTAAGTTGTGTAGTTATTAAAGGTGATTACCCATATAACATGCATTTGCATTCATTTATCACATTCAAGTCAGTTGTATATTGCTAAATTTATTTCAGGTGTTCAGTATTTTTAGCACTGGAGAAGGAGATGACAAACCACTCCAGTATGAAAAGACAGAC